CGGAAACGTCCCCCTCTTCACCCCTCCCTCGCGCAGACGCAGTGCCGCGCCCACGGCTGCCGGACAAAGAGTGACGTCCAGAGCCAGAAACATGGAGGCGACTGACCCGGGCTTGGTGGCAACTGGGAGCCCAGCGCCGCCGTCGGGGGAAGAGGAAAGGGCCGGCCCGAACTCAGGCCCTGAGCGTGACTCTGCGGGCTTCTCGTCGACTCCTGAGGCTCCGCTACCTGCTTCTGAACCCTCCAGCCCCAACGCCGCGGTCCCCGAAGCAAATCCTACGCCTCCTGCGGCGGCCTCCGCTGTCCTGGAGCTGCCCCTCGTGCCCGCACCGCTGGGCTCCGCGCCACTTGCCGAAGCCGCTCCACGTTCCCCCCCAGGTCCTGGCGGCTCCCGGCCCGGCCCAGAGACGTTCCGCCAGCGATTCCGGCAGTTCCGCTACCAGGACGCGGCAGGCCCAAGGGAGGCATTCCGGCAGCTGCGGGAGCTCTCCCGCCAGTGGCTGAGGCCCGACATCCGCACGAAGGAGCAGATCGTGGAGATGTTGGTGCAGGAGCAGCTGCTCGCCATCCTACCCGAGGCGGCGCGAGCCCGGCGGCTTCGCCGCCGCACCGACGTGCGCATCACCGGCTGAGCTGTGGGCGGCCCAGCCTGGGCCTCTCTGGACTGGAGCCATGATCGAGTCTCTCTTCACAACGCATTAATGAAAAACGAGTTTTGGCAGCTCGTGTGTCCTGTTCGTTCGTCCTTTACCGTGTTTATTTTCCCGAGCCTGTTTCAACCTCCTTTCTGGCTGGTGGCGAAACTAAGTTGAGAGCCCATGAGAATAAAGCCTTTGTTTCTTACTCACTTGGACTTTGTTGGCTTTTGTGGGATCACTACGTGTTGGCAGGGCCTGGGCCTCCATATCTGGAACGTTTTCTTGTGAGGTTCCCCAGGTTTTCTTTGGGTTTCCTTTGTCTAGCTGGAGTCTGAGGGCCCCAGCAGCTTGGGTTCTATATTCACCCTTACCTCACTAGCTAAAATGTGAGGCTGTTTTCCTCCCTGAGAGAATAGTGATAGTCTGCCTTATAGGTGGCTTTGGGATCACGCAGGCAAACTGCTGGCTCCACTAAGTGCTTATTTAACTGGCTACTGCTGTACCAATTCTGCTGCTGACTTGCTTCACCAGTCTGGCCTTTGGGCACAGGCTTCCCCCAAAACCTAAGTTATAGGGCTATTTTATTGTTTTGTTAGTGTGGGTCCTTACAGAAATACGCTAGTTCTTGTTTGTGAGCTCTGGTTTAAGCTCCAGACTCACCTTCCTTACCCAATTTTAGGCCTCAAGATTTAAGCAGCAGCTCTAGTGTGAACTAATAGATTATTTACATTGCTAGAGCTACTCATTTTAATGTCTCTCCAATTGCCTTCCTTAACTTTTTTTAATAAGCATAATTGTGTAGGAAGGGAAGAAGGAATTTGGCAAGTAATAAGGAAGCTCTGCTATGAAATCTTAAAGCATACTCTGTTCCTTGAGGCTTCTGTCCACCTAGGAAAGAGCTCTTTGGGGTCGGCACTATAGGCCGCTTAGATTGGTTTCAGAAGGGTCCTAATTGCAGTGAGAGCAGTCTCAATAAAGAAGGCCCAACCTGTCTTCCCTGCACTGCTTTCAACAATCAATCTAATAAGCCTGCAGTTCATATCACAAAGCATGAGCCAGACTGGGCTAGAGGCTGTGTGGGGCATTTTACTTTAGAATATTAAAGACCCTTAAATGAATTCAGAAGTATTTTGCATACCTTCCTGGAATTTTGGATATTGAGCTTGCATCTGCCTCCCTGCAGAAGATAAATCTATTTAAAATGTAAAAGCAGACTTTCTTTAAAAGATAATGTTCAGAGAAAATTAAGTAATGCATATTAAAAATTGTGTAGAGAACTCTATAATAACAAATGACTGAAACATAGCAACAAAAACCTGTTTTATTTTTTCCAAATACAGATACAGACATTTGCATGTTTTGCAAATATTGCTTCAAAGCAACATCTCTATATACAGCGCCTTCTGTTCTAATAGCGCGTAAACATAGATATGTGTCCACAGTGCAATGCTGGCTCATCAAGGGTCCACCTTGCATACACTCATCACTTAAAGAAACAAAATGATTAGTCAAACCAGAACTGTTTTTGTCAAGGCAATTTTTTTTATAGGTGGATAGTTTTTCTCAAAAGAAAACTTAGGTAGTGTACATATTTCTAAATAGTAACAGTAATATTTGCAAATAACAGTTTCCAGTGCTCCAACTTGGGGTTAACTGAACTTGACCCAGGAACTGGGGATGGAGTCCCTCAACATGGCTTTAAATTAGGGAAGCCCACTGAGGTTATCAGAACTTGGAGTCATCCCTGCTTCCCTAAGGACAAAAGTCACAATGAGTAAAATGGGATTATTTCTTTTACAAAAAGCATACAATAAACCCAATAATGAACACTTGGCAAAAATAGGGTAATTCAGTTTCTGCTTCTATCTTGAAAAAGACATGAGATTAACTACCTTAAAGTTACAGCTTCCCCAGAGGTGATGTTCAAATGTTTTTTCAAAAAAGAAAAATCAGTAATGTAATAATACATGTCACCATACCTCACAGTTGTGGCTACAGAAAATCATCTGGTTTCTTCCCTTTTCAGACAAACATCACACAGTTCTTATAATGTGGCTGTCTGATAAATTATGCAAAACAGATGCCATGCACACTCCTTGAGCTTTTCTTCCCACATCAGAAACACCAATGTTAGCAATGGGAAACAGCCTCTTGTAGAGGAATTGCGTCTGCTTAATTATGGATATCACAGCCACGTGTATTCCCTCTGATGGATAAGCTACAGCAGGTCAACTTGCCCTAAATTCATTTTCTATCAAATGGTGGATTAAATCACTAGACAGAGCATTCCCTGAAACAGATCTTGGTACAGAGGCCTTCATGACTGCAATGACCTGTGTCTTAAAGCCTAACCATCCCAAATCATCCCAGTTGCTGGAGATACTGTCACTGCTACTGAGATCTTGGCTACTTCATGTTTACATAGTAAATATTTGCAGCATATAACATTACAGATTCATAAACCCATAATTAACTTGTGACTGTTAATGGACAGCTGTGCTTTGATTTTTGCCTTTAGTGATAAGAAAACTAAATGGTGATACGGGTCACTCCTCAAAGCATGAAACATTTTCTTAACTTTGCCTAGTAAGGAAAAACAAAACAATTACACGTGGAACCGTAACCTGCGAGAGTAACAAATATTGTCTTAAAAGGTACAAATTGTACCTGGAATTTAAGCAGCATAATCACCTTGATCTCACAAAATAATACAAACAGGAAATTTAAAGTGTTGAAGTATATTAAAACAATTCTGAAAATGCTGACTACTGAACATACACCCTTCAGGGAAGGAGAAAAGCGCACATGTAGAATCTGAACTTTGTTTACAACAATATAAAATAAGGTTAATTCCCCAAACCACATTCTTTGTAACAAATCTTTACAGTGAAAGAGTTCAAAATTTTGGGAATAGTTTTCTGAACATTAAATAGAACTGGTAAGCTGTTGATACTAAGAATTGGGTAGAAAATGCTGTCCTTTGGGTTCCAGACCCTGCCTGCTTCAGTTTGGAATTCCTCCTGGATTCTTTTACAATGAGATTCTAGTTGCTCCACAGGCTGCATGGGCTCTGCTACAAAGACACGACCCGGCCGGCTAGGGGTGAAAGCGTACGGCACTCGCCCCCAGGGCCACGAAGTCATGCAAGGGACGTGCGGAGAAAAGTGAAGAGTCCTGAGAAGAAAGCAGGGCGGCTAAGGCCTGCTCCTTCCCAACCTCCACAGAATGGTGAAGTCACGGCATTCCCACGAATCTAGAAAAATGAAAATGATGCCTGCTGCCTAAGTCCATGCCAGGCAGAAAACCAGAAGGCTTGGCATGTGCCCCAACCTGACAGAAAAGTCAATTAAATAAGCTGCAAGTTGAATTTACAACTGTTTCCAACTAAACTTTTTTGGCTCTCATTCCATTTATCATCAGTGGCACGATTTCAAGTGAAGTTTGTGCAAAAAGACTCACTCTCCATTCAACAATGTGCACAGAAGGGAATCCCAAGAGTCTATTTGCTACCTTCTTGGTAGGCTTTGAGATCAGAATGCCCTCCCTTCCTGCAGCCAAAATGGCCTCTTTGTCCAATGTCCATCACACCCCCTGCCCAGATCCCTGAAGTCAGTCGGTGTCACGTGCATTCGGCATGCTAGGTTTATTTATTTAAATATGCAAAGCTCCTCCTGCAGGTGCCCCAGGGTTATGCCCCCATCAGCTTTGGGTGCCCAGTTTCATGTTGAGCAGCAGAGCGCGATCTGCTGCACCTTGCCCAGGTCCGTCAGCAGCTGCTTGATGCAATGCTTGAGCTGCGGAAGCCGGGCCAGAGGCTCCGGGGGCTCCAGTTCCCCAGTATAGTCCAGCCAGCTCTCCAACACTGTAGGCAAAATAGAGAGAAGATCCAGTGAGTTCCCAACACTCTATTTGCAAGACTCTCAGCAAGAATTTCAGCACTTAATTCTATCTGGCCACTCATGGCGGATGGGGAGGGAGGCCATTTCAGGCAATATTGACTCATCACCTTCTGCAAAGTATTACTCCTAGTACAAAGCTCAAATGCTGTAGAGCAGTGTGTCCAACAGAACTTTCTGCAATGATAAAAAGTGGCTATGTCTGTGTTGTCCAATACCGCCACTAGCCATATGTAGCTACTGAGCACTTATGAGGTGGCTAGTGCAACTGAAGAACTGAATTTAAATTTTATTCCATTTTAATTAACTTAAATAGCCACACATAGCTAGCAACTACTGCATATTTGCAGCTGTAGAGTCTAGAAGGCTTTGAAGGACCCACCTTTCTCAGTGTTACTGCCCCATCCTGATAAGGCTTTCCCATGTTGAAAATCAGCCTGGAGTTTTAGCCTTCTGTTAAGAAAAATGAAAATCTAAAGGGACTTGAAAAGGTCTATTTCTATTACCATAAATTCTGATTTGCTTCAAATTAATTCCTATCATCAGTAACACAGAAAATTCTGATTTTATTCTCTCCAAGTATTTAATGTAAGAAGACCAGGTACTAACACTCTTGATTATAATTAGTTCAATAATCAAAAAGCTGTCTTGCTCCTGAGAGCAGGGATTTCTCTACTAAAAGATATCTGTTCTTCCCCAAGCTACTCCCTTAAGCTCTGGCATATGGGAAGAGGCCATCGTTGACAAGAGCCAGCTCCTCCAGGTAGGCCCTGTGCTTACCCCAGCCCACTGTAGCCTTTCTAGTCTGTGCACCAACCCATACTGAGCACCTTCTGGACCCTGGAGCCAGAGGTGCAAAAAAGAGGGAGGCCACACAGTACCTGTTCCCCAAGCAGCTTGCAGCCTCACACGCAATCCTCTGCTCTCCTCAGACCAGCCCTCCACCTTCCTTCCCATCTTTCTAAACCCTCTGTTCCCTATAAGTTACTTCTCAGGGAAGCCTTCCCCAACTATACAGCCTGAATCTGCTCCCTGTGTCACAGGTGCTATGCTATCACTTGCTCTCCTTTGGAGCACCTACCCTGGTTCATAATTATATATAATGGGACGATTTAATTAATGTCTGTCTTGACCATAAGATCAAGCTCCATAAGGGCAGAGGCTGAGTCTGCCCTGCTCACCTTTATATCCCTACCACTCAACTATGCCTGGAACATAATAGGTTCTCAACAAAGGCAGTGAGAGAATGCAGGAATGGCCTAGCAATGTGCCCCACTGAACGCTCAGGCTCCACAGAGCTCACCTTCCTCCCT